CCAAGAGCTTCGATGGAGTCACAATGGAGAGGAGATTCCACAAGGCAACGGTCTTGAAGTATTCACAATATTAAAAGCCACTGTCGAAGATGACGGCATCTATGAATGTTACATAAATGGAAGACGCCATGAAAAGGAACACGCCTTTTTCAAGCTGTCTGTCAGAGGTGAGTGAGTCTACAGTATTTTTCATATCACAGGGGAACTAACCTTTCCTGTCCTCTGTTATTAGCTAAAATAAAGTAATGATCAATTGAGGGCACACTCAATCTTGAAAACGCAATACATTGGCATTCAGTAAGAGCATGATATGCACATTTGTATTATTAATATTATTCATTTATTATATAATATTACAATTATTATAGTTCTAAACTAGATAGAAATTATAATTGAAGTCAATCACCTTTCTTTTTTATTTAGCCTAGGCTTAGACTAACTAGTCTAGACCTAGATATGTTAATTCTTATTCATGTTATTGTGTACTACAATATTATTATTATTTATAATGATTTTACAACAAAAACAGAATGCCCAACAGGAAAATGTGGTATGCCAAATTGCCGAATGGACTGTCCAAACTGTATGTATGGGGCAGTGTGTGAGCCTCATTCTTGTTCATGCCTATGCCCAGCCGGCTACATTGGTGATCTATGTGAGACAGGTGCGTATATTTTTTTTAAATCAGTCATCACCTTTGTCCTATATAATTGATCTTTCCAAAATGCCAAGTCAAACCGACCAATCTGAATGTTTACGTTGTTTAAAGTACCACACCTTAGCAACAATATCCAAGGGACAGGGCTTAGCGGGAAGATGATAAGCCTTTCCGGAGTGTCAATCAAACTTAACAACCGACCAATCAGAACAGCACTAGGAATGTGCGCGTTTTACAAATACAGTTAGTGATTGTGTATATTTTAACACTGTCGTTTTGTACACCTTAGCAATTTTAGCGAAAAAATCCATTGGGAATGGGGTTCAGCATTAGCTACTAAGTGCAAGCTCGGAGATCATGTGGTAGCACCAGGCTAGTTATATGAAGGTCGTGGGCTCGTTTCGAACGCAAATCTCTTTTTCGCAAGTATTCAGGAGCGTACGGATTATTCGGTACGATAACATGTCAGGTGTAAATTTATCATATTTATGATGATAAAAGATTTTCAATTAACTTTTTTTTTCATTTTTTATTACAATTATTACTTCTAAAGATTAAAATAGTTTAATTTATGACTTTATACATACAATTATTTTACGCTTTGAAATATTTTAAAGAATAATTAAAAGTATTTGGATATTGCTCTTGCGCTGATATTTCATCACTTGGTATAATTCCTATTCACACGCCGAAACTTGATTTACGGAAGTGTCATTCTAATTGTTTGAGGAAACTCAACCTGCCTCTCCATGGAGGCGAAACGCGGAAGTAGAAACATTAGCGGCGGCAAGGGTAGTACCAAAAGTGTGCATATTATGTAGTGCTTATCCAGCACATTCCAAAGGCTGAGGATATAATTCGTTCCTAGAGCCCATGGTCTAGGACATTTAATTTTATTTTAAGACTCCGGAACCTTTACAGAAAGTAACATTTAGAGAACGGAAGAAAGTAAATCACGTCTTCTTATTTAAGCTAAATACAGATGTTTTGATAAATAATATAACACATTACAATCATTTGATGACATTAAATGATGGAACTCAAAAATTGTTGGATTTATATAAAAGAAAACATCACTCAAAAATTGTTGGATTTATATAAAAGAAAACATCACTCATTAAATTTAATGGCGCAAAACAACTTCAAAATGACATTGGATAAAGTAATTACGTGGTACTAATATAGGATAAGCCTATAGTTGGCCTACGAAATGTTGTTGCCTATCCATGACAGAGTATGAGAGCCTGTTTCGTTAGTCCTTATTTTAAATCTTTGGAAAACACAAACCCTAAAAATTTGGACTTTAAATAATTATACAATTAATATTGGGATTTTTGTAGTCAAATTATTTTGTTTGATCTCAGTCTGTTATTAACGTATGAGCTAATCAATTTTTACCGTTCTATTCTAATTTTTGGCAGTAAACGCATCTTTAAGAAATAACAATTCATAAAACTAGAAATGATAGAATAACAATGATGACTGTCTATATGCAACATAGAATTAATATTATTATTATTATTATTATTGTTATTATTATTATTATTAATATTATTATTATATTCACTATGTATTATTTTTAAATGCTTCAGCGCACTCTACAAGTAATTTTGGACAGAGCGGCACCATGGCGTGCAGTAGTGGTGTTGACAAGTGCATAGGTAACCGATTCTGTCGACCTCAACCATTTGGGTGTACTTGTGCAGGAGGTTTTTCTGGAATAGACTGTGGGACAAGTAAGTTTTTATGCACACTCAACTAATTTAATTAATTTTGTAATCTATTTATAAAAATCAAACAAACTCACCGATTTTTAATTTTTCACATAGGAAGTGAATTATTATAGTGTGGCTATTTTTATTTTCTAGTGTTGATTGTTTATTGATTCATTTATTTGATAGATAATAATTTAAGTATGCCAATACAATGTTGAATTTTATTGGCCAAGTGTATAAGCTCACCACAGACAGAATTATTTTTCTTCTTCTTCTAGCTGCTCCCACTTGAAGGTGGGGTCGCTGAGGCAGACACTATCCTTTTCCAGCTTTCTCTACCACAGACCACATCTTTTGTAGCTCCGAAAGCCTTTATGTCTCTCCTTACACAGTCTAACCATCTCAGTTTCGGCCTCCCTCTTTTTTTTTTCTTGACAGAATCATCTAACAAAATTATTGCGCTTAGTACTGCTACCACCACCACTACAAACACCACTATTACCAATACTAAGACTACCATTGCCACCACTACCACCATCACCACCATCACTACCACTACGACTACCACCACCACCACCAATACCACTTGCAGTTTTATGCTCGATACTTCTCACTGTCGTTGAACTGCATTGTTGTTAAAAAAAAAAAACCTATAGGTTTACAGCTAGTAGTAAAGCATTAATATTACCACAATGTTTTTTTAAAGGGTGTTCTGCAGGAACATATGGCCCCGATTGCAAGTTAGTCTGTTCGTGTCCGGATGATGAGTGCAATTACCATAGTGGTTGCAGTTCCAGTACTTGCAGCGATGGGATGACCGGCGATACTTGTACAGGTAATATGACAATATAGCAATACAAATAACTATAATAAGAATAATAATAGAAACTAACATATACCCGTGCTCCGCACAGTGTTGAATGAGTTGGGAAAGGTGGCAATGTCTATTGATAATTGTTATGGGAAGTTGAGGAGGCAATCGTTGTGGATGTTATGGTTTGCATGTTATTATTTTTCTAAAGGATGTCTTTGTAGCTAATGTTTTGGGTGTCTTTGCTGAATAGTCCTTGTGTTGTGAGGAATTATTGTGCAGTTTAATGAAGAGTGGATCCAGAATTTGTTAAACAGGGGCAGGGGGAGCCACAACTGTTTTAGAATAGATAATTGAGTAGTACATAACATTAATATGCATTGAAATTTCCAAAATGGAGGAGCTGGCTTGACCCTAAATTTAAACTTCATGTCACTATGTTAAAGCACTATTGCCGAAGAATAGCCATATTAAGCTGATCCAAATCGACCAGGATCAAGACAGAAGGGCCTGGCCGTAGCCTTGCTATGTCTGGGCTAGGCAAGTATTAGCACCAAAATTGGTTGCCTATGTTGAGTTAGTGCTGTGCGCGCACCATATGTATGTTTGTTTAATTTTACACCCTTTTGGGCTCTCACACTGCAATGGTTTATCGACGTACGTTCGAGAGTTTATTTGTTATTAACAGCTCGTGTTTGCAGTTTACATTCTATTCTGTCTTGTGAGTACTGTGTGTGGATGTGTCACCAATACTGGCGTGGTAACGACATTTTTTGAACCCACGACAGTCGCTTTATTTGCATGAGGTATTGTTGAGTAACTTACTCATCGACTCGGTGAGTAACTGTTGCGAGGAATACTACTGTTTTTCCTGATCAGCTTGATAACTCTAGCCTCTCTTGTAACTTGTAGAACTGCCTACACCAGAGAGCAGGAATTCTATTTACTACATTCCAGTAACTCATTAACCATGAATAGTCGGGCTCCAAGACAATGGAGTTTGGGACGCCAAGAAACAATTACATCATTTGAAAGTTGGCGATATAACCTGATATATATCTTGTCTTTAGGTTCAAATTTTACCTAATTCCTAGAGGATACATGGCAGAAGAAAAGCTGTGCCCAACCTCACAGGGGCTTTACTGACGACGGTGCAGACATGCCACACCGCCACTCAAAAGAACAACATCGTGGACATGATGCTAGGTCAGGTGGCTAATTATTGCCCAATAATTTCACGGAACTCAATAACAAAGGGTGCCACCTTTGTCGCAGGCATTTGGCAACTGATTAGACAGCACTGCGGTTTTCAAAATAGCGGTGCACATTTCTTAGACTTCAACAACATAAAACAGGAACCTGACGAATGCCCTGAAGACCTTTTCCAACGATTATTTTCATTTATCGAAGATTCGATTCTGCCCCCAGGAACTAACATTAAGCATCGTGGCCAGGAGATTATAGAGGAGGAGGAGCTAACCCCTTCACTGGAGAATTTGACTGTTCTTACCTGGCTAACTCCTCTTGCACCCCTCATTACCTAAACTGGTATAGCAACGATATTGTACAGAACTATAGATCCTGAACTCTAGCTTCCCTTAAGCCAGAAATTTTGCAAGCAATGGATTCCTTGCTTGAAGAACTATATATATATATATATGTATGCACTGAATACCTTGCTGGCCTTTGCCACTGCTTGTGGTTCTTTACTGTCCAGTATATGATGCTTGACTCAATACTATATCATACAATTGACAGTCTGTGTATTGTTGTTCTCCATATCGCAGCATTTGTGGTTTTTCGTACCATACCGTTTTGTTTTTTTTAAAACTCAAACAATATATAATTCATCATACCATACATTTTCTTACAGAGTATTTACCATCTACGCAGTGCCCAACTGGCTTCTACGGTGAACAATGTCAATATGAATGCAATTGTGACTCATCTTTCACATGTAATAAATGGTCTGGAGAGTGCGATGTACCAGGTAAAAATTTGTCATAGAAAACTTCTAAGATTACACAGCCTCTGGTTATACTAAAAACTCCCAATAAAGTGATTGCTCATTTAAAAAGATCAAATAAATTATCAACTTACAAAAACAAGTTCAGACAATTCAGTTTTTGATGATCTTTGGTGTGACATGAGGTCCAACCAGTGTAAAAGTACAGATACAGGATATTTTTATATATACTAATTTCTCTGCATTTTAGACCCTTAACTTATTCACGGAATCCTCCTTAAACCATGATTAAAACTAGAAGTTATAGTGTTTTCCATTCGCATTATGCAGATCGAAGAGACTCCCATACTTAATCTGGCCCATGTTGTTACCATTCCCTTTACCACAATACCCCACCAATACCAATACCAATTGGTATTGGTATTGGTGGGAAAACTAATTACTAATTGGTAATTAGTTTTCCAGCAAGTTGTCAATAAATCACACAGGCATACCTATGGTATGGTATAGGCTACGATCACACTAGAGTCTCAAGCCCGGCTTGACTCACCGCGGGTGAGATTTTCGTAATGTGACCGCACCTGGATTGACTCGCACCTGGCGTGACCTCGATCTAAATCTACCTATCTCGATCCCGGCTCAGTACCCAGATTAACCCTGGCGTGACCGGGATTGACATTTCCTCGTTGGCTGTCGATCAATCACAGTCGATGACGCCGTCGCGTTTAGAAGTTCTTGAATAAAAAACCTGCGGCAATCATCAGTTGTCATTTATAAATGCACTTATCAATCCGAAAACTAGCATTGCCATTACATCCGAGCCTAGGCCTAGATCATCTAGATTCGCGCGCAGGGCCGGTATTTTGATTGTGGCGGGGCTCTAACTTCCTGTTTCCACTTTCCTAATTTGGAGGTCAATCTAAACTAAATTCAGGTAGTGTGACCAACACAGAATTTCGAGCCTGGCTTGAAATCTGACCCGCGGTGAGTCAAGCCAGGCTTGAGACTCTAGTGTGACCGTAGCCATAGTATAGCTGACCTTGCATGGGCAATAACTTACAGAAGCTATGATTATAATCCAATTAAAGAGCAATTACCGGAGAAAGGCCTAATGTCCCAAATGATGGTTAGAAATCAGGAAAATTTTTAAAGAATAGAAACATCTTAAAAAAAATCACGCAATTAAAAAAAAATTTGTTATAAGTATTATTTCACGTGCCACCAGTTGCCAATTTTGCCACTTCACAGCCAAATTCTTACTTAAAATATGCATTTTGTTGTTCGATCTTATTACATATACAGTATATTTGATGTACAGTATTTTTAATGCAGTTTATTGGCAGTTACGAAGTCAGCAAAGGTCCTGTGGGAACAAGACCTCTTGCTGGGGAACCCTGGGAAATTAAATTAATTTGTTGGGTAACACTGTTTTAAAAAGCTTTTTTACAGTCTGAGAGTGTCATTTCCGGCAACTGCAGGTGTTCTTAAAATTTGCACCGAACACTGTAAGGCTGTGGTGAACTTTGACCTCGTGAGGACATTGGGCCCTCTGTCTAGAAACTTAGTGCACTCGTCAGAGAATATGGGGCTGCCAATTGCCATTGGCCTTCAATACTGTTATGTATTTCTCATATATATTATTAGATGATATCATTGACGTGGTGATCATACTTGACCCACCATACACCGATATGTCAAGTGACCCTCAAGTGATGTTGAGATTCGTCTCGCTCGGCGACACACAAACTGAAGACATGGAAATTAGTTACTTGTCGGATGACTCTGTGCAGTTGCAATTCAATGATACTGGCGAAGGACCATTCGCCAGCGATTCCACTTTTAGGTACTTCACAGATGGAGACTCAGTTCGCATGGTAATTACAATTGGAGCTTCCAGCTCTGCTGCGCAAAGAGTTGGTCCATTCTTGGGTACAGCTACCTACAATGGATTTACGACAACTTCAACAGCATGGTTCCAGCCTAATGATGGTGAGTAGAAAGTCACATTTATGTCTTTATTTTTTTACTATACAAAAAAATACAAATAAAGAAGCAAAAAAAAAAAAAAAAAAAACCAACGGATTACAATATATCTTGGTATAATAAAAAAAAAAAAAAAAAAAAAAAAAAAACCAACGGATTACAATATATCTTGGTATAATATTGACATCCATCAATCAATAAACCAATCAATTAAAATAACTTTACAGTACCAAATTTTATCACGTAAAACAACGTTTGGCAGCTCCTAATATAGGCCTATCATAGTAAACAAAATAGTAAATTTCTTGTATCACTACAGCAGTGTTGGTGTTTTATGGCGGAAATATTCATTAATGAAACTTTCCGGAGTGTCAATCAAAGTTAACTGACCAATCAGAACAGTACCCAAAATACGCGCATCTAACAAGCACACGTATTATCCAACAATCGCACGTGTTGCTCTTTTGTAGGACCTTAAAAAACAATATGCAAAGGGCTGAGTTAGTGGAAATGTCCCTTATGTACATTATCTGATCCCTTCTGTTCATCCATATGTACAAAAAGTGTCTAGAAGTTTACCAACCTTAATTTAATGTGTAGTACATATTCTTTGCAATTACCTGCCAACTTATGTTCGACTGTCTTTAGAATTTTAGTTTAGGAGATCATAATTCGATTAGTATCATCTGGTTTGCTTATTATGAATACAGAAATGTTTCATCGATAATAAATCAAGCACAATTAATGTAAACATACATAGCCTGACGAAGAAACTTCGCAATAAGTTCACATCAAACTGTGCTTGGTTTATTACAATAATAGTATAATCCTGAATAAATCGCCTAATCTCTCAAAATCTCTAAGCGCTTTACATTAAATAAAATCAATTTTCCAACCATTGAGGACATGAGTTGTAGAAATATGGTTAATTGAAAGAAAGTGGAATGTAAAATTGGTTAATTGTAATAAAAAATAAATCAATTTTCCAACCATGCCAAAAAAATAAAGAAAATTACTCTCAGAATGCTATACAGAACAAAGATGTTTTAAGTTGACTCCTAAAAGTTGTCATATAATGTGTATCCTTAATGCGATCTGGAAGAGAATTTCAAGAGCATAAAGCTGCGTGAAAGCTGCATGAAAAAAGCTCTGCTTTTTTGGACTTTGCCCTCAAACATGTTTAAAAAAATGTATGTATTATCAAACTTTTGAAAAATAAATGTTCTTTTGAACTTGGACTTGTTATATCTATTGATGCATTTTCTTATTATTATTACTGTATTATTATTATTATTATTATTATTATTATTATTGTTGTTGTTGTTTTTGACTTTGTTGTCATTTTCTCTGTTGTTATTGACAACAATGTCATTTATCATCAAATGTTTCATATATTTTGATTTCAAAATCTAGCTGAAATTAGTCCTGTTCATGATATTGTGCGGGTTTCCTTTGGTGGATTCACCCGATTGGTAACTAATGCCGAAGAAGCCAGTGATTTACGCTGGAAATTTAATGGAGAGGTCCTGGGCTGGGCAAATGGATTACCAGTTTTAACCATTACAAAAGCTTATGTTGAAGAGTCTGGTATATACGAATGTTACAGGGATGGAGACTATGACGATAAGATGCATGCATTCTTCCGAGTAGTTGTGAGAGGTAAGTTTATATAGGCACGTATCATGTTGGACATTAGTATTAGTAAAGTGATGAATCCAGAAATTTTTAAATGGAGGGGAGCCCAGGGAGTTACTTCGACAGATGAAGGGTCTAAGACAATTTACAATTATGTCACCTTTAGATGGCCGGAAATGGCACTCTCAGACTTAAATTTTTGAAAAATTGGGGGGGGGGGATGTCGGGCTGGCTGGGCCCTCTTGAATCTGACACTGAATAGTGATGTTTTTAAATATTTTAGAGCTGTTGTAGCTTACGTAGCAATATGACATTTTATCTTAAGGCTGCCCAAGTGGTTTGTGCGGTCGTCCAGCATGTGTTGATACTTGTCCTATTTGCTACAACGGCGGCGTTTGTTCAGCTGACACTTGTACATGTGTGTGTCCTCCTGGATTCATGGGAGACCAATGTGAAACAGGTTTGACTCGTCGTTCATACATTATTTTTAAGTTGGTTAGTTCAAATGTGTTTTTAATAAATCAGAGTGAAATTGTATCTTGATCGTTAATTATAAGAAAAATTTATTTCTGTTGTTGCAGTTTGCCCTGAACAAGATAATGCTTTCGGACTTACTTGCAGTAAAACATGCAGTAGTGAACCGAATGGCAACTGTAGCGGAATTAGATTTTGTTACCCGGACCCATTAGGTTGTGTTTGCGCATCTGGCTGGATGGGCCCTTACTGTGACCAAAGTAAGATATATTGGTATTATTTTACAACACTTACTGTAGACATTTGGGTCTTTTTTATCCATTAGTGACGTAATTTTCCTTTTTGTCATGTTGGCATTAAATATTTTATTGATTTTAAGATGAACAAGCACTGTTACCGTATGAGCAGTTGTAACTATGGAGGGCTTATTATAATGTATATACATGCAATCTGGCATTGAGGCCATGAGTTTTAGAAATTGAAAAAAGTGGAATGTTATGTTGTTAATTTTTAATGAAATGTTTTGACAATGTAGAAAATGTACGACTTCTTTAAAGGCAAGTACCTTGTGTCGGGAAAGGTTTCAAATATCATAGATTGAAATTACAGTACCAATGTAGTTTTATTGCTTATTTTAAGTGTGCGAACCTGGCCAGTACGGACCAGACTGTGATATCCAGTGCCATTGCGGTGATGGCGATTGTAACTATGTTTATGGATGCGAGGTTGGATCTCAATGCACGGACGGATTCATTGGCGACACTTGCAAAGGTTCGATAAATTCTATAGTAGTAACTTTTGAACAAATTTTGTCAATTATCAGACACCGTCGAGTATATAGCATACATACTCATTTCGTTTTCTAACTAATTTTGTGAAATTTCTTCATGAAGCCTTCATATACTGTACTGTTTAATATTTAGTTAATAGTTAACAGTACTTTTCATCTTTGATGTGATTGGGAATCTGACGCAGTTTTTTTATTGTAATCCTAATTTTGTAGTCGACTACACTTTCACAATTGTTTTACTTTTATTTAAAAGTAATTATGATGCCTGCATATGGCTAATTACAAGACTTTTATACTATTTATCATTGTATTTAAAGTCTACGTACTGTAATTTATAAATTTAAATGAATTTTACTTATATCTTAATTATCTAAAACTTGATTGGACTTGGTATGACAGATCCTGGTCCTGACGCTGTGTGTACAGTTGGTGATTTTGGCGAAAGCTGTGAATTCCAATGTCAATGTGATTTCAGGCAAGCTTGCAACAGGACAACTGGAGAATGTATTGACTGTAAGCTTTACTGCTATATCTGCATTGAACAGTAATTTCTCACTTGCCCCATTGCATCTTAGCATATTCATAGGCCTTTACTAAATTTGAAAAAAAACTCCATGTTGGTTATACATACTGTGAGTTCAATAATAATGAACCAGTAGAAATAAATTTCAAGCTCATTAAAATGTACAGTTGAACTGCTTTTTCACCATCTGTTGTTTAGTATTGTGATGCTATACTAATAGAATATTGGAAACTACTTTCTCAATAAGATTTGCTAATAAATGAATGTCTGATACTGGCCTGACTTTTTAAATTTAAACTGAACCAGTGAGTGGATGTGAACTAACGGCTTCCAACCTGAAAACTCTAAATTCTTAACTTTTATTAGATCCCGCTAATATTACAACATGTGACCGTGGTTTCTATGGTGAATTCTGTACACTGCAATGCCCATGCTCCTTGAGTAAACCGTGTGATAGAGAAACAGGCGAATGTCTTGAAGGTAAGTTTCTTTTTAGACAATATACGATAATCTACATTTTTATTCATTAGATTACAGATATGATTTGTATAAAAATAAATAAAAATCCTTTTTTGTTGATAG